GATGGGCAATCCATTCACATTCCTTTGAGTGATTACATCATCAAGGCATATTTTTTTATGTTGGATGCTGACAAAATTTAGCCGCGTCAATGTACATTTTCAAACGAAGATCCGGTTATTATCGAAGCCCATATCAAAATGACAGAGCTATACAGAGAACTTTTATCCTTATACATAATTCCGAATCATATAAAGAACACCCCACTCGACGCAATTGATCCTACTGATAGTCAACATTACATAAATCTGAAAGATATATATATATATACCTGGGATTGGGTGTTGCTAATGAAGTTTCTCTCCCAGAGCTACATGCAAGTACCGAAGAAGTTACAGGGATGAAACAGTTTTGAGCTCAATCGCAAAGTTGGATCTCGATTCTGTCTTATCTGATAATAGACTACAGTCTTTGTCGTCACTGTTTCCAGTACTGCCAAGGCTTAAACCCCAAACTTTAAATGATCAACAGACGTTAGATGATGAATGGAGAAACTTAATTTTTACTGCGAATGAACTACATCTGAATACAAATCAACCAGCAGACGTGTTTTGGCATCAGGTAATATTTTATCATTTAAGAACTTGACATAATATTGCACATATAATATAATTTCACAGATTTTTTTCAGTTGTCTCAAATCAAAGATAGCGACGGCGATAATAAATACCATTTTCTGCCTCGGTCTATGCTCCAAGTTTTATTGTTGCATCACTCGAACGCTGAGTGGGAACGAAAGTTCAGCGAAATAAATAATATAAAAACAAAGCAGAGAAACTGTTTAGTCACAAATATCACCAAAGGCAACATGCTAGCTCAGCAAGCTATTCGGCGGACTTCCGAAAATTGCGTGAATTTCAATCCTACTAAGGAAATGATTTCAAGGATGACAGCAAAGATTTATGAAAATCATGAGCAAATTGTTATGGAATAAGAAAATAAATAATATTATTTTTTGTATCTAAACGTATGTTTTTATTTATTTAATAACTTCTAGCAATTTGTATTGATAAACAAAGTCATAAAGCAGCTTATTTTTCTATCAATATTTAAATAAAGTTTTACTGTAATCGATTTTGAAATCTGCTGTATTGTTTTTAGAAACTCCTGTAATTTTTAATTAAGTGGCAATACTGTAATTTTACTTTTGGGATCTGGAGGCACTGTTGGAAATTCTAGATAATAGCGGAAAACACGATTTAGAACCCATAACATGAACACAAAACGTAATTCACACGAAAAAATATAAAAAAATTACAACTAACCTGAAAAATAACAATCCTTCTTAATTTTTACGAAAATTTGAATTACATCCATTGATGCAACACTTTGTCATGTTGTTTTTGCTCAATTACCCTTTACTAATGAACAAAAAAGCTCCAAAAGAGTCCAAATTCAGTGTAACACTGAAAAATAACTCAGAACAAGGCTAAGATGACAGACGAATTACCACAAATGAACGTAATCCTAATGGCGTCATGCTTCAAGGTGGAGGTTGGTTAAATTATGAAAACTGTCAACAGAAAATTGAAGTCTCAGATATGTACTTATCATTTTTTACATTTGAAAATCATGACGTGTGAGAATGAGACAGATATATTTTTGTTGGCAAGGTTCATGTTTGCATGATATTTGTATAACCAAAAAATATATATGCAATTTACTGCTTATCCTCTATTTTTCTTACATCTATGTAGACGTGGGTCGTTACGTCATTTTCAAGAAACGTAACGAAACCAGTGACTTGGTCGGCGTCACCTGTTTTAAAACTAGTGATTTTTGTAACTGGCTATTTTTATTCGGCTACTGTGATTGTTTGCATAAATACCACCACCAAGTATACAGTTACACAAGAAACGAAAATAAATTTAATCAATATCTAAGAGTTTGTAGCTATACAATGAAATCAATAAATTAACTTCCCTTCATACTTTATTCAGGCTTAGGACTGACTGCATTAAATGTATTTATGATTGATTTGTATTTACTATGAAACTAAGATTTTCATAAAATTATTAATGCAGGCGTATTTACGAGTCAATTTGATTGTATATACAATGATTTTTTTTTTTTTTTTTTTATAGGAGAGGGGGCAAACGAGCATGCGGCTCACCTGATGGTAAGTGACTACCGCCGCCCATGAACAACCGCAACACCAGGGGAATTGCAGATGCGTTGCCGGCCTTTTAAAAAGGAGTAGGCTCTTTTCTTGAAGGTCCCTAAGTCGTATCGGTCCGGAAAAATCGCTGATGGTAATCGATTCCACAAGGAAGTCGTGCGAGGAAGAAAACATCTTCTAAATCGCACAGTGGTGGACCGCCAATCATCCAGATGGTGTGGATGGTATCGGGAGTTCTGCCGCGATGTGCGTTCATGAAATTTGGCGGCTGGGATTAATCCGAACAATTCCTCAGAGCACTCCCCATGGTAGATGCGAAAGAAAATGCAAAGAGATGCAACATCTCTTCGCAGTGCCAATGAATCGAGCCGATCGGAAAGGGCTCGGTCGTCGACGATTCGAGCCGCTCTGCGCTGGATGCGGTCAAGTGGAAGGAGCTGGCACTGGGGAGCCCCTGCCCAGAGATGGGAACAGTATTCCATGTGAGGCCGAACCTGCGCCTTGTAAAGTTGCAGGCGGTGTGCCGGCATGAAATACTGTCCCGCTCTGCTGAGCACGCCAAGCTTTTTAGAGGCCAATTTGGCCTTCTCTTCCAAGTGACCACGAAACTGCACGTCACTCGATATGTCGACTCCGAGGATACCGATACTGGCTGAGGCAAGAAGGGGAGTGCCTTGAAACTGAGGAGATACGACAAAGGGGTTCTTTTTAGCGGTAAACGCGCAAACTTGTGTCTTCTGAGGATTAAACTGGACTAGATTTAGTCGCCCCCAATCCGAGACTTTGTCCAGCAAAGACTCGACTTCAGACACAAGTTTGTTCCGGTACTCGGCGACGTTTTCCCGAGAAATATTGGCCCGGCCGGTGTATAGAGCATCACCAGTGCTGTCATCCGCATAGCAATGAATGTTACCAGTTAGCAACATATCATTGATATGCAGAAGAAACAGCGTTGGTGATAGCACACAGCCTTGTGGAACACCAGCGTTAATAGGCTTGTAGTCAGAACATGCACCGTCTACAACGACCTTGATGCTCCGATCTGCAAGGAAGCTGGTGATCCAATTGCACAATTTCTCGGGAAGCCCATAGGAAGGGAGCTTCGAAAGAAGCGCTTTGTGCCAAACCCGATCGAAGGCCTTCGCAATGTCCAGACTAACGGCCAACGCCTCCCCCTTGGACTCTACTGCCTCCGCCCATCTATGGGTCAGGTAGACTAGAAGATCACCAGCTGATCGACCCCGACGAAAACCGTATTGGCGGTCACTGATCAGCTGGTGATCCTCAAGGTACCGGATGAGCTGGCAGTTAATAATGGATTCCATTATTTTGGAGAACAAGGAGGTGATCGCGATAGGCCTATAGTTGGACGGGTCTGAGCGGTCGCCTTTTTTAGGGATCGGGTGGACAAAAGCTGTCTTCCATGAGTTCGGGACAACGCCATGGGAGTAGGAGTACCGGAAAAGACGCGTTAGAACCGGTGCCAACTCCGGAGCACACGTCCTCAGCACAATTGGGGGGATTCCGTCAGGCCCACTCGACTTGTGGATGTCAAGGGAGAGGAGTGCTCTGCGAACCGAGCGCTGTGAGAATAGCACATCCGGCATAGAGCACTCACACCGCGGGATGGTCGGCGGTGTGTTCCCCCCGTCATCAACAGTCGAGTTGGACGCAAAAAGGGAGCCTAAAAGGTCGGCCTTCTCTTTTGCGTCGTGGGCCAGTGAGTCGTCCTCCCTGTGCAGAGATGGTAGTGATGGCTTACAGAAATTCCCTTGGACAGCCTTGGCGAGAGACCAGAATGCACGGGTTCCCGAAGGAAGGCGAACTAGTTTCTCGCCAATTCTGCCTATGTGCTCTGACTTTGCCTTGGCAATAACTCTTTTGAAGGACCTGGAGGCGAAGTTATACTTCTTTTTAAGTGTGCTGGTGTTTACATCCCGAGTCACCGAAGCCGCAGCCCAGGCTTGATAACACTCCTGCTTTCTGCGCAATGCAGTCTTACAGGAGCGACCAAACCAAGGCTGAGATCTGCCTCCGATGGGTACCACAGATGATGGAATAAATAGTTCCATTCCCTGTAGCACCACATCAGTGACAGAGTCAGCAACAGCGCTGGGATCATCCGGCGAGAAGCAAACCCGCCCCCATGGGTAGGATGCAAAGAAAGACCGCATTCCGTCCCAATCTGCCGACCTGTAATGCCAAACACGGCGGCAACCTGCAGAACGCAACCGCGAAGGGAGCGTGAGTGGCACCATACTCCGGATCAGACAATGGTCCGAAGAGCCGAGAGGGGCATCGACGGAAACCTGATATCCGTCCGGATGAGAGGTCAGCAGAAGGTCCAACAGGGAAGGTGTATGATCCTCCACATCTGGAATCCGCGTAGGCGAAGTAACCAGTTGTGTCAGACCATATGCCAAAGCAAAGTCATAAACAGATCTCCCCGCATGATCGGTTAAACGTGAACCGAGCCATTCTGCATGGTGGGCGTTAAAATCGCCAAGGATCACGATCTCTGCGGATGGGACCTGTTGTAGCAAGGAATCTGTAGCCATTTGGACGTGGTCGATGAGTCGGTCTGTTTCGGCATTACCGCTATGGGACCTATAGAGGCACCCGTAGACGCGCGGATAATAATAAAATACAATGATTATTGATTATTTACAGTTTTTTTTACACTTTTTCAACGTTTTCACTGTCATTTGTTTTTGCACTTTTATTTACACTGTACAATTATTTTGTTTGTTTGTTTGGCTATTTACACAGTTAATCATATTTTATTTTTATTATATTATATTTACACAAAATTTTATAATAATATACACATTTAATTTTTTAAACACATTTTTAGTTTAATTTTAATTTTATGAATAAACGAGTTCATGACTCCGTCAAAAATCTTTTTGGATCTAAGTTAACATTTAAATACATCAATTGGGCAACTTTGTGTGTCTTCAATTGTGTGCGGCGGTTATTAATCGTAAGCCCAGTTTTGCTGAATATCCTCTCGCACGGAACTGAAGTTGCCATTATGTTGCCATACTTGCGTACAAGTATGGCAAGGTTAGGATAAATGTGGTGGTTATGTTGCCACCATTGCAAGGGACAGTTAAATTTCCCACTGTCGTTAAACATAGGTAGAATATTATCTTTTAAGTAAGAGTCTACTTCCTTGATGGCACACGACAAAGGTGTGCCTACTTGCTGCTGCTGCGACCCGACAATATTGTTTAAAATGGACCATGGTGAAAATTTATCTCGTACCGGTATGGAAGCTGGGGTTGAAGTGGATTGTTGGTTCTCTCCATGTCGTCGCCGTCTAATATCACTTGCAAGTATCTCTTCCAGCATTTTCTTTGCTTTTGCTGCCTCATTTGTGTCAGAGAACACATTAATTTTGTACCTTGGGTCTAAAATTGTACATATCGAGAACGTGCCACTTCTCTCAACACCTTCTAATCTTTTATCTAAGCCTGTCCGAAGTGCTGTAATTACACTATTTGTTGTAACATTAAAGTCTTCCAGAAGCAGTTGGTTACACGATTCTCTAAGACAGCGTGTCATGACTATGATGGTACTAGCTGTCATATAATCTTCACCACTCATAGCTTTCGTAGCTTCGTCGAAAGGTTTTAAAACTTTGCACAGTTCGTGAAATAATGCCCATTCCTCGACAGTTAAGATTGGTAAATCTTTTCTAAGAATTGCAACAGTGGCACATATTTGATTTTCTAGTTCAACAAATCGTTGTAACATAGCAAACGTAGAGTTCCACCTAGTTGGTACTTCCTGTATTAAGCGCTTCGGTACTATGTCAGGCTTTTCCTGTAATTGCGCTTTTAATAATTTTTCTAGGGCTGCTGTACTTATCTTAAAATGTCGAACGATCGTTTTAACTTTATCCAAAGAAGCTTTGACTAAATTTAGGGCATCTTCCACTATTAAGTTCAACGTATGGCCATAGCATCCATAATGCTTCCACCCTATATCAGCTATGGCTTTTTTGACGTTAGCTGCGTTGTCACTAACAATAAAATTTATTTTATTTGTTACATTCCACTCGTTGGTAGTTTCTAGCAATGCAGCTTGAATATTCGCACTGCTGTGCGTATCTTTAAACTCGGCACATTTTAATAAAAATGTTTTAAGAACAAGATCTTTTGTTATATAGTGCCCCGTAACAGCAATGTAAGCATCATTGACCCGAGACGTCCATAAATCTGTTGTTAGAGATAGAAATTCAATATCGTTTATTTCTTCTTTTTTTCGTAGAACTGTTTGGTCGTATAATGTGGGAATTATAATGTTAGAGACAGTTTTTCGTGATGGTAACTCGTACCCAGGTATATGTCGAGCAAATTTTTTAAAGGCACGTTCTTCTACTAAAGAGAAAGGGTGATAGCTGTCTATAAATAAATTGGCAAGGTCATTATCAATTTGTCTTTTTTTGGTTATTGTTACTTTTTTTCTAATTCCGTAGCTATCAATGCGCTGTTGCGCAGGCCGGTATATGGGTATGGTATTTGCAGCAGTAGACGTAGAAGCTGACGCAACATTGGAGCTGGACAACGAGGGCTGAGGTTGGAAATCACCTGGGGGTTCCTGCCCACGACTTTGTTCTGGGGTCCTTGCCGTTGATTGCACAGTACAAATGCATGTATACGCATGGAGGTGTTTTCGCTTCAAATGTGTTTTCAAATTCGCAGTTGAAGTTTTGAAGCTATAAACTTCTCCACAACTGTTGCATTTCGCTTTTTTTTCATTATCCAGTTTTTGAAAAAACTCCCACAAAGCACTAGAGTTCATTCGAGACATAATTATTTACAAGTTTTTTATTTACACTTTATTTAGAATTGTACAATCCACGCTAATTATATTTATATTATATATATTATATGTATAGATAACAAGGAAACGTTACAGTAAATGTACATAAAACACCAAAATAACATTTAAATGTTAATTTTTACAAGAGAGTACAAGTACAACGATGAACTAATACAAAGTACAAACTAAATTATTTTACTTAAATTGAATTTAATTTCAATGGTTTGCGCTTCCCAGAATCGTAAACCGTTGAAATTATTTACAAACAGAGATCACTCTATTTTATTATCTATTTATTGTAGTCTTACGTATGAAAATTAAACGTATAACCTGTCGGAAATATCTGCGAACCTGGCTTGATGACGTCATGCAATATGGAGAGATGGCAACGGTACTGGATAGACGATAACGGGCGGAAATATCTGCGAACCTGGCTTGATGACGTCATGCAATATGGAGAGATGGCAACGGTACTGGATAGACGATAACGGGCGGAGGTGCGGGGAAGCGCGAGGGGAAGCGCATTCCAGCGAGGTTCGCAGATATTTCCGACAGGTTATACAATAATACTGTTACATACGCTGTTTTGTTTATTGTTGTATGCCACATGTGCGCTTTGCGCTCGACCTACCGACCATTACCGACGGTCGTAAGAATCACAGTTAACAGTAAATAGTAATAACGCATTTACAAAAATCACTACTTGTAATAAGGGTCGAAACTAGTGATTCGGTTACATGCCGCGTAGCCAGTTATTGTGTCTAGTGACGTGAAATAACACCCACGTCTACATCTATGATAAAGTTACACTGTGCTAGAGATTCTGTGACTGTGACTGTTTGTAATATAATAATATATAATGTAATCTGTGACTGTCACTGCAGTGTTGCCATATATACAGATTTCTCCGGATTTATACAGATTTTCGGTGTATAATACAGATTAGCACTGTATACAGATTTTTATACAGAGTTTTCTAACTCTATTGATTAAATTACCATAATATTGAACTTAAAACAGAACCAAGTAAAATATATGACTAGATACCGCGTAACACACATCATTGCATGATTCTATTCTTTATGGTTAATTTTTTTCACAACGTAATTAGTTAGTAGTCATGTGTTTGCTTGGTAATTTTGAAGATCGCTACGTACTAGTTCATTACTGACGATGAACTAGTTCATCCTATTAGCTCTATTAGCTCTATTCTATCATCAGTACTACCATAGAATGAATAATATTTAAAAGATACTACTAAACAATTTAAGCTATATCTATCTGTAAAATCTGTATAAAATGGTTATCTCAGTCAGTGAGTCTAAGTCTCAGTCGTTCAATATCTGCTCGAATCGTAATGTTGTATTATTACTCGTACACATACACTTGATAATTTCTTGGTCAAAATAAAAGTCTAAAGCAAATTAGTGTTGAAAAAATAGTTAAGGTAAATGAAATAAAAACCCATATCCATAAACTGAGAAAATAATAAGCATCCAAGGATGAAATTAATATTAAAACAAGAATAAAAAGCACAAAAAAATCGTCTAGAATTGTTATAACATAGCTTAAATTTTTATACATTTTTACCGTAGAGAGGATTTCATCTATTAATTTAATAAAGACAAAACAACGCAATAGACTTAGTACAGATACTATTGAAGGTTTTTTAGCCTAGTCTTTAGCTCTTTAGTCTATAGCCTAGAGGTTGATAATAAATTACTGTTGAAATTTAACAAAAGTATGTAATATAAAGTAATTATTATATTATAGTTCCTTCGTTGCAAATGTTTGAGTTTTAATATGTTGTTTCTTTAATCTAATGTTTTTATTTTTGATAGGTATATAAAATTTATTAGTATATAATTTTATTTAATAACGATAATCAAACCCTATTACGTTAGTATTTATCCCTAGTTTTTCAAAAGAACCAGTGATGATGATAAATAATTCTATTTCAGTTTATTTGATAATACAGATTTTATACAGATTTTAAGTTAAAATAGCATACAGATTTACTACAGATTTTAGCAGTTTCTACTACAGATAAAAGGTTCGAGGCATCTGGCAACACTGTGTCACTGTGAACTTATGTGACCTGTGCTTGTTATGTTGACAAAACATCTAAACTTATTTTTAAATTTGTAAAATATAATTTATTTATGATTAATGATGTCCGTTTGGTTTAACATGGAAAATCTCTGTCGTTGCTGTCATTCTCAATACGGCTTTAAAAGTCTCAATGCTTCTCATGAAGGTATCGAAGAAACTTACTCTGTTATGTTGCAAAGGACTTTTGATATTGTTGTAAGTTTAATATTTTGACTTTATGTATCAAAAATATAGTGTACAGTTTATTTATTAGTATTGGTTGTGTTACATGACAACGAAACTGCCGATAAGAAGCTTGGTGAAAGCACCTCATTCAGGCACCTCAATGCATTTTACACTTACACTTATGACCTTATTTGATAATCCCTTGGAATTCTCTTGAAAAATCTGAAGTCTATGTAAATAATAAGCAGAAATCCTACCTGACTAATAATCGTTTTTTTTTTAAATTAGAAATAGTTCTTAACATCACTTTAATTTATGTAGAGTTAGATTAGGGCACAGATTGGAGATAACTCTCGTATTAAAGTAAAAAAGCTAATATAGTGACAGCAGATGGTGTGATTCATCTAAGACTGTTAACCACCAAGATTGTAGATAAGCACTGGCTTGACTACACTCATTAAAAAGTTAATGTTACAGCCTAAATACGTCCCACTGCTGGGCACAGGCCTCTCATTTTTGAGAGAGTTTTGAGCAAGGCAGTATCATCCGTGCTACCCCAATGCATGTTTGGCATACTTTACATGTCTTCAAAATATTTTTTTTCTTAATTCTCAGACATGCTGGTTTCCTCACAATGTTTTCCTTCACCGCCAAGTATTTGGTAAATCAGTACTTAAAATTGCAATTAAAAATTTAATTGGTGCTGATGGGGATTGAATCCGAGTTGCTTGCATACTATGAAATTTGCAGCAAGCGCTAACTATCTGAGTTACCAGGGCTCACTACACTCATTGTTGGTGGATTAATACTGCCAAATTATTATGCTACCTATTAGTACAAGGCTAGTAAACGTTAGTGGTGGAATTTCTTACACATAATATTTGTTTGGCAAGATCAGTTCATCACATATATTTTTACAAATAAATGAGGAAAACTTCATTTTGCAGTTCCTTTGGCGATTGTGCATTAGATATTCTAATAGATATTTTTAATTAAAATTTTTACTGATTTCTTCTACTAGGTGAATCCATCAATTGGGGAGCAAAATACAGTTTCTTATTCTATCTGTGATGTATGCATATCACATTTGCGTGATGCTCTATTTTTCAAGCAACAAGTGGAAACTTGTGAACAGATCCTATCTTCACATTACAATAGTCCGGAAGTCAAAGGTAGAGTAGATTTATTATTTTAATTGTGTTTATATCTTTGTATGTAGTCATTTATTGATATAAGCAAAATATGTGAAAAATATTTATTATTTACAGGTAATTTTAAAAATGCAGTCAAAGAAGAGGCGACAGAATCACATGATGGTAATATATTATATTTGCTAAAGAAATGGTTGGAGTGACATCATATTAATTCCTATAGTCCACTATTTACAATTTCATTGCAGGCTATTGATTGCAACATTTCATTTAAGGGTTAAAGGAGGAATGCTGTCAAGAGAATGAAGACGACACTGAAAAAAAATGTACTGGTTAGTGGTTTTTATTCATTTATTTATACTCTTTATTTGTTTGGTAGGTCTATGATGTATGAATTATTTTGATTCTAATGATTCTGTGAAGCTATTGAAATTAAAATAATTATTTATAATTTAAAATTAAAATTTTGTTCAACCAACTTCAATATAAATGATTAAGAATAACTCAAAAACTATTGGTCAGACCTTGATCCAATTTATATGGGACCACATGTGAAGCACCAGCTTTCAATAAAAAAATCATTGAAATCGGTTCAACCAGTAAAAAGTTATGAGGTAACACACATAAAGAAAACATGCAGTCGAATTGATTACCATCTACCAGAAGAAACATCATTCTTAATTCTGTACAATTTTAATTTCCCAAACTGATAGTAGACTGATAGTAACTACTATCAGTTTGGGAAATTAAGATAAGAATCTGTAATCAATACATTCAAATCTAAACCCAGACATACCACCCCAACATTTCAGGATACTTTAAGCTTGTTTTGTATAAATTGAACCTCAATTAATGTTTAAAAACTAAACAATGAAATATGTGTAATTTGGTTTTATTTGATTTTAAACTATAAACATCACCTGTTAATACATGGAGGGACTCAATAAATATGGGTTGGCTGAGGACCATGATTTGTGGCTATGTATAGTGGAAGCCTGTGTCCTGTGTGTAGTAGTGCTTACGATGGACTGTAATGATGATTATAATGATGAAGATAATAACTGTCAAAATATGAGTGCAAGTAAATTATGGTATTGTATTTTATATTTTTAATGTCTTAATATATTAATCTAGACTTATTCTAATTTGAGACTGAATATTTTTATATACTTAACAGATAATAAGCTGGAAGTCTTCGAAAACTCAATTGAAGATACTTTTGATGATCAACCTTTGTCAGTTCTTAAGAGCAAGGTTCATAAAGAAGAAACGATAGACCAAGAATCAGAACCAGATGCAGACTGGGCTGCTGCAGCTACTGTTAGCGATGGTACGACGACATATATACTGCATAGTGTGTTTGATATTTTTCAGAGATAAATTTACTCACAATACACAATTATATTTCTAAACATTAAATTAATAAATTCCTAATTAAAATCAAATTGTTACAGATGAGATAACCAAGTCCAATAGTCAGAGAAGAGTAAAAAAATACACCTGCAATGTTTGCTGTAAACAATTTACATATTATGGCTCCTTGGAAGTCCATTTATTGACACATAATGGAGAGAAAAATTATCAATGTCTTATATGTAATAATAAATTTTTGCAGAATAAGGATCTAACAAAGCATATATCTACAAGTCATTCTGAAGGTGGTGTATATCCATGTAATATGTGTGCCAAATCATTTGACAAAGCTCGCCTTTTGAAGAACCATTTAGCAAGTCACTACGATATGGACAAATTTAAGTGCAGCCATTGTGACAAACAGTTCCAACGCAAAAAAGGTTTGAAAGAACATATGAAGACACACACGAAGGAGAAAAATTTCACTTGTCAGATATGCCACAAATCTTTTGGTCACAATCAAACTTTAAAATCTCATATACTTACCCACACTGGGGAGAAACCATATGTTTGTGACGTGTGTGGCCGTCGATTTGCCCAACGCACACATTTAAAGAGGCATATCTTCATTATCCACACTGGGGTTAAACCTTACTCATGTAAAGAATGCAACAAGCAGTTTTCCAGCAAAAGTTACTTGGCAATTCACACCCGGCAGCATACTGGTGAACGTCCACATACATGTGAAGTGTGTAAAAAAGATTTTACTGCTTATACAACTTTAAAAGTACACATGCGGGTCCACACTGGTCGCAAGCCCTACACTTGCAGCTTTTGTGACAGACAGTTTGCTCAAATGGCCAGTTTTAAACTACATGAGCGCACCCATACTGGTGAACGACCATACTCTTGCAAAGTTTGTAAAAAACCATTTTCAGATAATGGTTACTTAAAGATTCACATGAGAGTTCATACTGGAGAAAAGCCATACAGCTGTGAAATTTGTAAGAGGTCATTTAGAGAGACTGGTCAATTAAAACGTCATATGAGAGTGCACACTGGAATAAAACCATACACATGCAAGATATGTAATAAGCAAATTGGTAATTTATCAAAGCACATGCGTGTACATTCTGACGAGAAACCTTACAACTGCAGTGTATGTAATAAACAATTTTCCATAAGCGGTAATTTAAAACTGCATATGAGGATTCATACTGGTGAAAGACCTTTCTCTTGTGATATCTGTAATAGTCAATTTAGTCAAAGCAGTGGACTGAAAAGGCATAGATGTACACACTTGGACAGAGTTAACTCTTAGTACTCTCAAACTCCCCAACTTCCCTTGTTTTTGATACATTTTTCGATAATTCTTTCATATTATGGAGTTTTTTCGATTATAGTTGTTTAAAACTATTCTAATTATCTAGGTCTGCAATGCAATGCAGGCGACTCATTTGAATACTACAACATATCACTCATTTGGCTACTAAAATAATGAACTAAAGGTAATGTCCGTCGTTGTTCCCTAACTTCGCCTGCCTGTGCTTATTAGTATAAGTAGCTTACTAAAAATAAAAGACAAAAAAAGAAAGTGTTCTTGAATGTCGGAACTATGAATTCGCCATACAGCTTCATTATTGCTAATATAACATTGAAACTTTTCGATTTCATTGCCAGGTGTATAGGAATTCGCAGGTCCGAAAACTGCCATGTTTGCCTTTATTCACATATTTACCCATGCATTTGATTTATTTAACTTGAATTGCAGACCACAACGTTTGATATGCGCATTAAATGATTTCGAAAAAATAGAAACTTCTATAGAAAAATTCTTGAAATATTTTTGACTTTGAAACTTTTTGGTTCATTTCCATGTGAATTTGGATGGTGCAGTCCATATAGTCCATGAAGCATAATATTGTTTTTGATAATTTCAAATAATTCTGGATCTTCTGGATTGGGCAGCTCAGCAGTAATGATATTGTCAATTCGAGTTGGAACAATTTCTTTAACCAATCAGATTAAGATATAGATATGTGGTAGACCTCTTTTCGCTAATTAATCGAAAATATCCAGCAGTAAGTTTCTCCGTATATATGGTTCTTAGTAACGAGATTCATAAACGATATCAATTTTTGTTTGAAAATTCTTGCTGTAATATTGTATCGAGTGGTCGTATCATGTTGTACGTTATCTTTGTATATTGCTCCTGGCTCTTTTCTCTGTTACAGCACTTGTGATTTTATAACTTGATATCCGTCGTTTCCTCGCGAGAACTTTATTGGATATTGAAGTGCATGATACGATTGTGGTGTGGTTCAGCAACACGTTGCTTGGTTTGATGTCATCTGCTGATAACAATATCCCGTCGGGTGAAATCTGTTTCGACAATTACAGCAGGACCCGCTGGAGCATTGTCGTATTGTCTGCCCTAATAATGAAATTCAAGTCATCGGTCAACGCGGATTTAAAATCGCAATAATTTTTTTATTTCTTGCGTCACTAAATGCGCATCGCTGATCAATCTCTTCCTGCACTTTGTTCATAAAATAAATTTGCAAAACCTATGGATTTTCTTCGGATACTTGAAGAAGTGAACTAATTAGATGATACACTTGTCCTTGGACTTTCAATGTGACTACAATATTCGTCACTCTAAATGACGTCATTTGAAAGCGTGAGTTGTATTTCCGAATAGGTTTTAGAAAGCGTTTAGAGTGAAGTCATTAAAAGTGGTTCTGGTGGCCAGTGGCCAGTAATGGTAAATTGACTTTCTTATTGAAGAAACACATGACAGGCGTTTCTTTTTTTAAACTTGAAAGCGTCAATGAATGCACAAGTTAGTTATTGTACCAATGACAACATAGCGATGCCATTACGTGATCTCATTCTTTGTCGTAATCGAACACCGCTTTCAGTTCAGTTTAGTTTCAGTGAGCTTTCAGCTTCACTTTGCTTGTCTCGGTCTTTCGGAGTTCTTGAAGCAGAATCTCGTTCTCAAGAGTTTTCAACTCGTGCGTCGCACTCTTCAGATACTTCCACAGCTCTTGAAGTATAGACTGCAATTCGAAGTTTTACTTTGCGCATCTTGCTCTTTAGATGTTTTAGCAGCTCTACTGTCTGACAGTTTCCATGAATGTCTTGTAGATTTTACAATATTTCTTTTTTTTTGGGTTTCATTTAGCATAATTTCGGGTTTGACTTACATTAAAAGTTAAATTTTCAGACTATTTCGTAATGTCTCTTTTGTTTCTTTTTAGGAAAGAATGTGTGATGACTTCTGCTATGGTCGCACTTTTATTGCCAGTATTTTTTATTAGTTATGTGAATTTTTCCAGAAGGGCTGTCTCCACCATATCTGTTCTCCATAGATGCCAATCCCATTATTTTTTTTTTTAATTTATTTATTAATGAATTTATGATACAGTGGTGTTACTTAATTCTAAACTCGCCAAATTTTTACGTTTGATGGGGAGTGGCGCTCTTTTACAAAACATTGAACCACCTTATGTACTACTAATATTAGACACAATGATACACAATTATATAATATAGTAATATATAAACCTATAACATCTTAATGTTATGTTAACTATATATCTTTATATACATGTAACTTTAATTATATGAATTAAATATCTATTACTTATATATTATATTGTAATGTTAATGTACTCGTATATAGAGTTCTATTAGCAATCCTGTATAATGTATTTTTTAATTTTTTCTTAAGTGATCCTTTACTAATTTTTACTTTTTCTCTTAGTAGATCTATTTTGTTAAACACTTTCGCTACCAAACACTTAGATGTTCTCTTACCATAATATTTCGTTATTTTTGGTAGAACCAGTTTGTTTTCTCTAGCCCTATGTATGTTGTACTTGTTTTTAACATTAACTTTATATTTGTCATTATAATAATATTCCATATCTACCAAATAATCTACTTTTTTATCTATGGTTATTATTTTACAAATGGGAAACAACTTAACATAGTCTTTGTTGCAACTATCTTTAACATCTTTACTAACTAAAAACTTCATCAGTTTTATTTGTATGTCTTTGATATCTCTTAGATATGTAATAAAGGTTCGCCTGTATTCAAGGAGTCCATAACTCATTTGCGAGTCGGCAAGTGCAAAATATACTATTCATAACCCTTAATTTGGCAAGGAAAAAAAAGTTAAAATACCTATATTTTTGTTAATATGTATTTAGTAGTGAGTAAAAACATACGAAAAAAAAATAATTAAAAAAATATAATATACTTATTTTCGCGAAAAATCAATGTCCGCCACAACGGCCATTGCCAAATATGTAAAAACTGACTTGCTGATTTAACTATCCGGTCTGACGGACATTATCAAATTAGGGCAAAATAATAAATCCAACTATTTTAATATTTTATTAAGAATATAATAACTTAAGACTAAAAAATAAACTTCATAGTTAATCTTATTTGGTATGGAAATCTAAAAAACAATTTCTGGCATTTTTTCCAGTTACAAAGCAAAGTAACGTCTGACATTTTATGCAGTACACCACACTTTTTTTTTGGCAGTATCTACAACGTTCTTCCTCCATGGTCTGCGGAAAATGACCTACATTGTCGTACTTTATTGGACTGGAAGGGCGTGCCGCACGGGACGTGTAGATTTTTGGGGCTACGATTTTGCTCCGTTTGGCACAACGGTTTTCGGAGATGAGATTCTCATACACAGCATATCGAAAAGCTTTCATTGCCATCTTCTTTTTACGATTGTCTTCATTCGCCTTTCTGTGAACCAACACAAATGTCCAATAATTGCCCAAAAATGCCCATGTACCAGCATCGTGTTTTGAATGGCATTTTGTAAAGCTATATCAACATATCAGCTAGGTCGACTCCGCCCATATGTTTTTTGTACTGTTGCACAATTTGTGGACACTGTACTACTACTTTCTTCTTCTCGTCCTTCGAATATCGCAAGATCTTTTCCACAGGCTCAGCCACAGCAGTAGAGGAATAGTTGCTGTTAGTAGAAGGACATTCATCTTGCATTTCAGATTTAGAGTCTGGTTTTCCACTTGCATCTGAAGGAGCATGCTCGTTAGAAACCAAGCCTAATATTATTGACGCAAGTGTGTGCTGTTGACAAGAAAAAAAAAACAAATAAGAAAGTACCCATAACCGCAAATTAAACGAACTTTGGTGATGTCCGTTCCAGCGGACAATGTAATTTAGAACAACATTTCTAGATCTTTGGCAATGTACGCTGGGACTAGGGTTACCAGGCCTAAAAATGCAAAATCCTGTCTGACATATCTAAAAATCCTGATTTTGAAAAAAAAAGTCCGGTCACGCACCTGCATTAAATAAAAATCATAGTATTTAAGTATGTTTTTATTTACTTATATTATTTAGACCCATATTTTTGGTTGCTAGCAATCGCATGCAAAAAGTTGTTTTTTCCAGTTATTTCGCAATAAAATTGTTCACGCATCACGTGTTTATAGTTATATTGCGTAAGCAACATGGCTCTCACTGACTCCACTGAAAGTGTGTTTCTCTCTTTGGTCCACTGAGAAGTCATGAGAGAAAAGACTCCCTCCACATTTGCGTTGTGTGGCAAAACACTAAAGAAATATTGACAAATCTTCAGAAATTCTGAAACTCTTGAGCTGTCGTTAATTGTATTAAAAAAGATACACCATTGCTTTTCAGCGAGGTCATCATAAAAATCGGTCTGTTTTGTGTTCAGAAAATTCTTAAGCAGGCAGAACTCTTCAAATAGTTTTGCGTCATCTACAGGAATTCCTTTGTCCCTCAAAAACACTAGAGCATCTGTGATTTTTTCAAATTGTAGATCCTTCTTTAAACAGATCCATTCGAAGCATTTTAAGGATTGTAAGGGTGTTATCCAAAGGTTTATGTAGTTGATACATTCTTCGTACATTTGTTTTATTTCGCTATTTATCTGCGTTTGGTCAGCTGCGGTAATATTGTATTTCTGAAAAAGCTCTCGTACTTTCAAAGGAATGAAATTTTGCTCGATTCTTTGATTGAGTGACTCTGTCGTTCCATTTAATGCACTGAAGACTTCGGCGATTGAGTTTTTCTCTTTTTCTAGCGAAGCAATCCTTTTGTGAAATATAGCCATTAGAGAATGCAGATAAAACAAATATATCTCACTAGTTTCATTTTCGAAGAACTTTTTTATCAGAACAGGTACTTTTTCCGTTGTTGTAAAATACTCATTCAATAGCTCGTATAGTTTGAGAATCCTTTCTATAGCTGGAAAAAGACTAAGCCATCTTGTCTTGCTGTGATGAAGGAGTT